GACAGAGGACTTAGGCAGAGGAAAACAGGGAAAATATACAGCATTTAGATTAGAAGATGGGTAGTTAAGAAAATCAGAAAATTAAAGTAAAATACTGTAAATCAAAGACTAAAGGAAACTAGCTCTACAATAGTAATATACCAGAACACTTTTTGATTTCCATCTTTACACAGTGTTAGAGCTTCTGGCAAAAGTCACCCTGCTGGATTGCCTTGAGGAAGAGGTCAGATACCATGGAACCACAAAAATGGGTCAGAATCATCAATTCTGACTTCTCAGAAATTCTATTTTAGCTACAGTGCCAGTCAGCAGATACGTGGCTGTTTCCACGCCTCTCTCATTTACTTCATGAGAACAGTTTAATCCCCCAAATTTGACTTCCTACAATGAGAACTATGCATGAGGGAAGCAGTTGACAATCACCATGACACAGAAGAGGAGGACGTATAAATGTAGTGAGGTTCAACACAAGCAGCAAATTCGGAGAGAATTGCATCAGTAAACAAAGTAGAATTCAATTTTCAATTCACTATTTTATTACACTGGGAGAAGTCAGTGTTACAAACACACTCTCCCACATCTGGGCACCTGAAGCACCAATGAAGTTGCTTAATCTGCACTCAGACCAAAGCGCTTCACTGAATGAGCTCCTATCATTCAACAATACCAAATGCCTTAGCATGAATTCTACGCTTGCAAAAAGGAGGAGAAAAATCTATTCTGTACGTGAGGATATATGTTCAAGCAGAGGGTGAATATGCCCTGAAAACATAAGCACAGGGGAGCAAAAGCAAGGAAGCAAAAAGATGATGAAAAAAGCTGATGAAGCAAAGCAAAAAAATCCAGTGACCCTGCAAATCTGTGAAGCCTCTGAAACATCAGGCTCTCTGCTTTGATCCCATCTTCTGCCAATAAATCAAAAAAGCCCAAGAACCCGTTTGCAGATTTAGCAAGTGTTTCAGGGCCTATGGAAAAGTCAAATCAACTTGTGGTGTTCTGCTTCTGGTATAATAAAAGCACAGCTACCCTACATGGCTCCAAGCACAGCACAAAATGGCAGTGCCCGCAGTCTCCGAGCAGCTTCTTAGCCAGACAACATGAAATTCAGAACGCTCGTGCCAAAGACAGTTAATATGATCGTGTTGGATTACAGTCACTGTAGTGATACTGGGCAAATGTTATGTTGCATAAGGCTATACAATAATTGGGCAGTAATCAGTAAAAACATTAAGTCCCTGTTTTACTGCTGCTTCATCACTAGCTATAAAACAACATCCTAATAAAGAGCATAAACCTAGAAAGAACTGAGATTAACAAGGCATGTTATGGCAGTTGGGAAGTAAAAGTCACTTTAGCAATACAAAATTGAACAATACTGTTTAAAAGAATGAGAACAGAAGATTTACTATTCCTTATTTAAAAAAAAAAGCAGCTATTCAGAGGGCCTGGCGTAGTTACCATAGTGTATACGTCAAACTGGTAAGCAAAGCACAGCGCATCAATGCTTACCAGAAAAGCACTATATATTGGACAGCTGACTATAGCACTATCAGTCCCTAATTAGATAACCTTGCATGGACAATCCTAACCACTGAAAGGAAGAAAGACAGAGAGAGAAACATTAGAAAAAGCTCTGGCCAATATTAAGACATGAATTTTGACTGTACAAGTAGGTATATTTATGGCAGAGTTCAAGAATGATCAGACAAGCCATTACAGAATGAAAGTGGCTCCCTCCAAGTTGTTTTTATCAGGCTCTGAATATATCACCTCATTTTTGTAGGGTTCGGGTATCATGTGCAGTTAACGTATAATTATTACCGAACTGTGATTGCATCGTTAGCAGAAGTTTAATTATATCATTGACATTAGTGATGCCATAACATCAAGCTCAATAATAGTTCATAACAAAACCCACAATTAGCACAATTTTTCCTCCTTTTTACACCAACCAAAAGTGTTCAGCTTGGAAAAGCCTAATAGTCCATACAGAAGTGAGCTAGGGCCGAACCTAAAAGGATTGCTGGCTGGTAATTTAGTAATATGGTAATTAAAGTCTTTTCATGATGTAATTACACATCAACTACAAAAGGACAGCTGCTATACAACACTGCCAGGGTACGTGGCATGAAATGATTAGATTTGAGAGGCTTTGGTGGTTAAACTGAATACCACCGACATAAGTCTGAGGTATAGCTGGCACCGCATAGCACATTATTATTCAAGTCTCACACTTGGTGTTTCCTTAGTCTCATTGTGATAGTAACAGTTTGTTGCACGTACCTTGGTCTTGTGACCGCAGAAGCTGTTCAAAACCCACCTTTAAAAGCTTCTGCTGTTCTTAAGTTCCCTGGACCTAACCTTCTTCTGGGCAGAGGCAGCACAAATGAGGTTTGCGTGAACCCAAAATGTTTTTTTCCCACCCCTGCAGCATGAAACCTCCTCTCACAGACTCTCGTCTGTGGGAAATGTAGCTTGATTTATTTGTAGGCTTTTTCCAGTGAGGGAGTGGAGAGGGGAGAAGGAGAATGACGACAGAGAAGAGGCACAAGTGAGTAGGTAAATTCAAAGAAACTAAAGTTCGACCAAAGAACTGACGGTTTCGGCATCTAGTTCCAACAGCAACAAGCACAAGTTCCCTGTTCGGGTGAAAAAACAAACCCCACCCTCCTTGTCAAGAGCAGACAAACATTTTTTAAGTAGTTTCCTTATTTTATTTCTCACTGCCCTCACTTGTGTCTGTACAAACAGTAAAGTTGACCACGCAAGGCATGAGACAGCAAAAAGGCACATATTTTTCCAACTAACACGAATAAAACTTCTTGGCTACGTGACTGGGCTCTTAAAAATACAGGAATGCACTGTGCACCCTGGCAGTAGGCGGACAACCTCAGAACTGCATTTCTAGTCCTAAAATGACCTTTTAGTGATGAGGAGCAACTTAGATATTTCGCAATAGCAGTTTTTCTCCCCTTCTGAAGCATGGGAACTAGGAATTTGATGGGACAGAAGCCCAGATCAACTGATCTTCTACACTTTAAAGCTTTTAATTTCTTGAGCTACAAAAATCTAGAAGTGAGACTATTTGAAAGTGAAAGATTTTGGGGAATCTAGAAAATTCTCCTCAGCATGAGGAAGGTTTCCATGCAGTCTGTTTGGAAAGTGCCAAACCAAACTATTTCAGATCTGGAGCAACCCCGTTACCTACCAGATACGAGGAATGAACAGAAAAATTTGAGTCCTGGTTCAAACAAGACTCAGCCTTGCTGATGACTTTGCTTCTAATTCCTGCTCTTCCTGTTTGTCTGAACAGATGTTTTTGCAGGCCTGATGAACATTCAAAGCCTCTTGAAGACTTTGTGGCTTTAACTACAGTGGTCGCTTGGGCTAATTCAAGATCGTGGACAACAACTTTCTTCCCATTGGGTGTGAGAGGCTGCAATGGAGCTAAGGCTGCTCCCGGGAACCAGAGGAGTAACCCTGGGGGAACTGGAAGCAGCCAGTCATTTAAGAACAAAGATCTCAACTACACAGAAGCAGGTCCTGCATGGCCAATTTTACACAGCACACTTTTAAGAGACAATAAAGCAATTTAGCCAGCCCAATGGAAGAGACTCAACTGTACTTCAAGTACAACAGCACAGGAAAACATGATTATTTCTAATTTAATGGCAAAAGAGCTAAAATTTAGTTCAGTTAGTGGTTCTGATGACTAGATAGGTGGTCTATTCGAGCATGTTTGCAGCTACCCTCTGTGAGGGCTCTTTTGATGTGAAAAAGATTAATATATGTCACTTGTCAAGAGGAATTGGGTGAGCAATTTGCAATTTAAACAGCAAATTCAGCATATTAAGAACAATCAACAACATGAAAAGAATAGGAACTTAATGCACAAAGGATTTATCTGACTTCCTACAAAGTTTAAAGCAGCAAGAGGCAATAAAAACGTTAGGTTTAAACTACAAAACATTTTGCCGCTGACTGCTGCCTCTGTAGATACATTGTGCACATACAGTACAAACATGAACTGTGTGCGCACAAACCTCAAACCCAAATGCATAACTGTAGCAGTTCACCTAAAGACAATGTGGTTCAGTACCTTTGCAGACTTTAATTTCTCAGCTGTTAACTAAAAGAACACAACAGCAGTCTGTATCATGTGGGGAACTATTCTCCCTGGCCTGTTTATGCAGGGCGCTGCCAAAAGAAACACGTGAAGGCTTAAAGTCCTGCAAGAACAGCCTCATTATCTCTCTCTGATGGTGTTATGGGCAGAGAGCAAGACAGCGGAAAAGAATGAAAGTGAGAGATTTCCAGTTTCCTCCTAGCTTTTGCTAAATCAGAAGACAAAGAAAAAGCCTCTCGTCACAAGTCTTCAAGCATCCAACTCCTAAATATAACAAAGCAACATCTCCTGAACAACAGCATTCAGTTCCGAGAAATGCACAAGTACACAACCTAGAACAGGACACCGTAAAAAACCTAATCTGTGATGGCCCCTCTCCCTCCCCTCCTCCCTGTTGCAGGACTAGCAGTTATTTGCTTACAGATGATTACTTTCAATTATATCAAATTCTGACAGCCAGGTGGCCTTCCAAGACTAAGGCTTAGGACAGGAGCCATAGGACTTCCTACTGAACCAGTCCAGCCCTACCAGCTCTTCCAGATGCAGTCACCTTGTCAGTGTTCAATGCACAATTCTACGATGCACCCAACATCTCTTCTGTTTCAATAGCTCTTTAGCATCTTTCCAGTTCTCTGCAACCACCAAGTCATTCAAAAACTGCTACAGGGACAGAAGTGTCATCAACCTCCCTGATTACATCCACCACTCAGCTAGATACTGCAAGCCTATCACTGCCATTTGCATCACTTTCCATGAGAGCTGTTAAAGAAACAGAATCCTGTTGTGATACTGTTTGTAATTAGGGAACGTGGTAACACCAGATCAGGGAAGTTTGGGATGAAGGAATAGTTGGGGAGACACCTCACTTACTCACCTGCTGTCACCAGCGTTTGCCACGTAAAGCTTCCCCAATAAATACACCACCACAAGGGCTGTGCAGCCACCAGAAATATTATACACGGTCCTCTCTCGTTCTATTTGCAAATCCTATGGGAAAAGAGAACAAGATTTAAAAAGACAGCATCATAATCAATGTTTTAGAAAATGAAGTTTCCCCTAAAAACCAGAATAGAGTCTTTCTTAGATTGCATGTCCCACTGGCTTTCTTTACTGTTGCAGCTATGGCCGCATGGTCAGAAGAATGGGAAGTGAAGGAGTATGTATTACTTAAGATACAAAGATGTCTGGGAAAAAAAACGGGACAGGAGATTGTGAAGCATCAAGCACCAAGGAACAAATGGCAACTCTGAGGGATGCCAGGGAATTTGCTACGCAAAAACCACAATGAAGGCAAAGATAAATGTAGCTTAACAACAGGTACCTTGTGGTATAATTGGACGGTGCTTTACATAGACAGCAAGTAATTAATGAGACCTAGCTATGACATGACTAACTACCTGCTCTCCAAAAGGGACCCTAGGATTGCGGAACCTATGCCTTTACAAACAGCAGCACGACCCATTCATGCCACAAGGCCACCCCTCAGAAACACAGGGAGAGGGTGGATGCCAAACTTATTAAGGGGTTGGGGGAAGAAGGTCAGTAGAACAGTATTTATTGAAAAATACTAGGTATTCACAGACTTTCCAGGATGAACCACGGTATTCAACTCTGTGTCTCATCTCACTGCTTTTAGGTCCTGAAAAGACTTAACTTTTATGCATGTGCACAGGCCCAAATTTAAGGAGGTACATACCTACTCAAATAGTTCTTCCTGTGTTTGGCTTCCAACTGATCCTGACTGTAAGAAATATTACATCTAAAAAAGCCCTTCTGCTTACTAGAAATGGAGAACACAAGTCACATCTGTCACCAACAATCAATCAAGCCCAGGAATGAAAAAACAGAAATATATATACACACACACATACACAAATGTATATGGTCCCAGGAAAGCCTAGAGAACATAAAAAACAAGTAAATGACCCGTTTTCCAGTAGTTCATATGTTTTAAACAAAAATTGAACTATACGACAATGAATTCATTCTGCTGCCTCTTAGTTTAGTTTGGGGTAATAACACAGCATGTTACAAATTACCCTGCTCTCCTGAGTCCAGCATGAAATCCAATTTCAAACTGGTCTTTCCTTGTAATACTGGATTCAAACAGGGAGCATCATTTAACATTGCTATTGCAAGTATTGGCAGATCTTTTCAGCTAAACCCTGCCTACTTGTATGTGGTTTATATTATGAATATATTTGTTTGCCTCCGTGTGTGTACATACACACAGAGCTATACTTCAGCCATTTTCATATTTGCACTGAGCAAGAAACAGCTCAAATTGTCCGCGCCTTGGGGTATGGGATTTAGAGCTTTATTTTAGAGCCAAATTTATCTGAGGAAAAGCACCACAACAAATGCAAACCATGACAGCTGCAATTTGATTGAAAATCTGCAGAGTTGGAGGAGGCCAGGGAGCACACTTCGTTGGCTACAAATTTCAGGAGGGAGGTGACCTGGGGCAGCGATGGGGATGCTCAGCAGCGCCCGGCCACTGTCCCGAGCAGGCTGGGCAGAGGTACCTGTCACAAATAACACGACTCCTCGCTGGCCGGTGTACATAGGGCCCGATCCCATTTGTGCCATGAGTACAGTACTGAGGCGGGTGGTGTGGCGGCAGCAGCAGCAAGAAACATCAGCGCTGCCCGACCAGGCCATCCCCTGCTGCACATGGGAACTGCACTCTGCTGCCGGAGACACTCGCCTTTCACTGATGGCTCTTCGCCTCTCTTCTCATTGACTTGTGGTTTGCCTTTTTCTTTTTTCTCTCTCTCTTTTTTTTTTTTTTTTTTTTTTTTTTTTTAGGGGTGGGGGACTGGGGGAAAACTCTGCTGCCGGAGACACTCGCCTTTCACTGATGGCTCTTCGCCTCTCTTCTCATTGACTTGTGGTTTGCCTTTTTCTTTTCTCTCTCTCTTTTTTTTTTTTTTTTTTTTTTTTGAGGGGTGAGGACCAGGAGGAAAACACCTCCAAGCTAAAAATCAAATCTCGCAGAACCTTTGGTCACAGACATGGGCCTGTTATAAATGCCACTTTATCTAATCTTGCCATAGAGAAGCTGATTTTCCTCCCCATGGTTTCTATATATTTTTAAATTAAGCTGAAAAGAACAGTTCAAAGGAAGCAGACGTTTCTAACCATCAAAATAATTTAAACTTACAGATACTACAGTGGATTTTCCAGACACTGCCAGGAATTTTAAAAGACCTTCATCTCTACAGTTCAGAGTATCCTCTGAGACCTTCAAACAACGTACAATTTCTCACCTGGTTTCAGCTCCACCATACATACACTTTGCAAGTGCTGGAATGCCTAAATTAAAATTTATTTCTTTCAATAAGCAGATTTCAGAAGCATCTATTATAGAAGAGAAGACAGAAAATCCTTAGGGCCTCATTTTCAGAGTTTCCTTGACTTAAACTGGATCTGTGTACGGGATTTTTTCGAATCCTTCCTGTTCATGAGCTCTTCTGTCTAGTTGTTCAGAACTTGAATTTACTATCATGACTTGCCAGAGTATATTCAGTGCCATGTTTAATTTGATATTACATACTTTGTTTGACATTTCCTTATCTGGGGGGAGGAGATGAGGGGAAGGCTTTCCTACAGCTCAACAAGATTTGAGGGGAAAAAATAAACCAAAATAAAATAAAGCCCACCACTGCCACTAAGTTATTTTGATGTAGTGATATTGGCTTTTAATGAAATACTTTATAACAGTGCTGCTGGGAAAGTACTGCAGCACAAACAAGGGCAGAAACCCCAAAACACCTCTGAAGTCTTTACGGGTACAAAGGAGCTCATTCTAGACAAAGTCTGAGCGTATATAAAGCTTTCCTCATTTTCCACATGGATTTGAGAGCAAACTTTTTTTTTTTCTTTTCAATTTTTCCTCATTTCCGCATAGCAACCTGTGTGCAGGGGAAGAGCTGAGCAAGGCTGGGCAGAATCAAATGATGCACCTTTCAGCCCAAAAGGCAGTGTGTGCCACTCACTGAGACCCTGACAGAAAAAAAAAAAAAAAAAAAAAAAAAAAAAAAAAAAAAAAGGATTAAAGGATTTCTAGATTTCATGCCAAGGAAGCCGCTAATTTATTCTGTGCTCTGCTCCTCTTTTTAGGATGCATTACAGCCCCAAGGAGAAGGACTTGGGGGTGTTGGTTGATGAGAAGCTCAACATGAACCAGCAATGTGCGCTCACAGCCCAGAAAGCCAACCGTATCCTGGGCTGCATCAAAAGCAGCATGGCCAGCAGGTCAAGGGAGGTGATTCTGCTGCTCTACTCCACTCCGGTGAGACCCCACCTGCCGTACTGTGTCCAGCTCTGGGGTCCCCAACATAAGAAGGACATGGACCTGTTGGAGCAGGTCCAGAGGAGGGCGACGAAGATGATGAGAGGGCTGGAGCACCTTTCCTATGCAGATAGGCTGAGAGAGTGGGGGTTGTTCAGCCTGGAGAAGAGAAGGCTCCAGGGAGACCTGATAGCAGCTTTCCAGTACTTAAAAGGGGCCTACAAGAAAGATGGGGAGCAACTCTTTATCAGGAAGTATAGTGATAGGACGAGGGGTAACGGTTTTAAACGGAAAGAGAGTAGATTTAGTTTAGATATTAGGAAGGAATTCTTTACTGTCAGTAGTGAGGCACTGGAACAGGTTGCCCAGGGAAGTTGTGGATGCCCCATCCCTGGAGGTGTTCAAGGCCAGGCTGGATAGGGCTTTGAACAACCTGGTCTAGAGGGAGGTGTCCCTGCCCATGGTAGGGGGGTTGGAATTAGACGATCTTTAAGGTCCCTTCCAACCCAAACGTTTCTATGATCCTTTCTATGATTCTATGTAGCGGCAGGTAGGAGCAGGGTGCCCACAAGGGTTGCCTCATCCCCGGGTGGGGGAGCCACAGGGAGGATGGAGCAAAGCCTGCAGAGGACATCATGAAGTGCTGTGGGGTACGCTTCCAGAGCAGGGGTTGCTCTCTCCACCGATCACAGAAGCAGCCCAAGGACATCGCATCAGCCCTGGGACAGACCTCCCCCGCCGTCCTGGCCGCTAAGGTCTCCTCAGCGCCTGCCTCGCTGAGGCTCAGACCCGGCTTTCCCAGAGCCAAACCCGCAATTAATCACGCTAATTAACAACCGAAAAAAGGAACATCATGCCAAGTTTTAGACCTTTAGGACCTTGAAAACAGAAGTGGGTACATTCATCAAATTGCAGCATCGTCATTGCAACAAGTTATTATACTGCAACAACCGCTAAAATGGCTATTTTTTTAAATCTGCATCTAAGTGGGGGCTTTTCCTCCAGGAAATCTTGCTGTGAGAGAACGAAGCTTTACTCCCTACACACAGGACATCAGGTGTCTGCTTTAAAAAAAAAAAAAAAAAAAAAGTAAGAATCATGTTTCAGAAGACGTAAAGTCAAAATTAACTCCTTAATCTGCTCTACCTCTGTCAAAATGGAGGTACCTCTGGAATATATTTAAAACCCTCCTGGAGGCCATTCCTGTCCAGCCCGCTCTGGGTGAACCTGCTTGGGCAGGGGGGGTTGGACTCCACGATCTCCAAAGGTCCCTTCCAACCCCTGCCATTCTGTGAAAAAGGCATCAAAATGCCTGTACCACTGTTTCAACCCTCTGTATTTCTACTGGCTATTTAATCAGAGGAAGCTTTTCAAAAGGAATACCATACAACATATTTTACTGTCAAAAGATAGTTCAAATTAAAATGGCACCAATCTTGCAAAAGCATCTGGCTAGATTTCATCTGGGTCAAAAAAACCTCCACCCTCAATAAAGAAGGAAATCATGATACAATGTATACAAATTTACACCTACCAATAAATCATACAGACTAGCTCTGTGCCATTTTTTCCCATCCAAAATTAAACAAGTTCAGTGTGGAATACGTGCTCTCTCCCCTTATCTTTCTTTAAAATACATACTACATCACACACATGTATACAAGGTTAAATACAGGGAAGGGATTATAGTTTGATGCTTCTATACTGGACAGAAGAGCACTTAGAAACATCCATCCTGGCTCCTAGAACCAAATCTATAAATGCACATCTTAAAATTTAAGAGCTGAAAATTAGAGGATTTGACTTATGATACCTTCAGAACTTGAGCTTATTTATTTCCATTTAGCTGGAATAATTGTGATAACTCACAATTCCTGACATTGAGCATTTTTTATTTTTTAAACAGGACAGTCAATTATTTGAAAACACAACACAAACTTGCTAACCCCAGCTCCAACACATTCAGAGAACACCATGTGAAGTACTTCAAAAAGGGGAGAGCTTAATTGGTAAATTTCTAAGTTAGGCAATGACTTGGTCTGTGTCATCTTTCTACAGTGTTTTACTGGCTGTAGCTGTCAGACAAGCACTGTCCAAAAGAAATCACACCCAATAAAGGAAAAATAGTTTTTAAAAGCCTTTTGAAAGGGATGAATTACATTTTATTTGAGACTTGAGGCAAAACCAGGGAGAGCTTAACTAGAATTCAAAAGGCAGTTGGGGAAAAAAGTAATGGTATGCAAAATGCTCGCAGGAAATGGGAACAAAACCACCATTAGATAAAGTAGTGAGGTTAGACTGTTTTTTGGTTTTTGTTTTTTTTTTTTTTAAAAAAAAGGTATCTGTATCTACTCAGCATTTTCACCAGGTTCAAAGGGCTCCTTTGCGGCGATGGGTGTTTCAGGGAACAACACCAAGAAGTCTGCCTACACGTCCAGGAAACATGAGCTTTCACCAAGTGCCACGTAAAACGATACACTCTGCTGGCACAAACCCTCATACGTTACGCACATCTCAACTGCAATGACCTAACTCAACAACATCCATGATGTCCTAGTACAAAAAAGGACTGAATAAACAATGTCCTGTGGAAGAGGCCCAAAATCTTCACCCACAGACTACTAGGAGTATAAGCTAGCAGGAAGTTAGACAGAGGTCAGAGGAAGATCAACCATTGCAAGCACAGATGAGACTCAGGAGTGTTGATCTTATGAACCACTCCCTCACACGGACAAAAGAAAATACTTTTGCCTAAACCAATCACAAGCACAAGACTCCCCCAAGAGCTTAAAGTAGATACAATTATTTATTGCTTTTCTTAATCTGTTTTTATAAGAATTCCTTTTAATGTAAAACTTAATACTGAAATTACATTGCATTGTACCAGACAGAGAGTCTTATATAGCAAAGACAGACAATGAACTTCAGCCCTCTGATAAAGAGCAAAAGTGGGAGTTAAGGTATCTGACCTGTAGCATGTGAACAAAGACACAGGGAGGAAAATAAAATATTCTCGGACTTCACTTTAGAAAAAGGGAGGACAGACTACTATGACCTATACATGGAATACTCAGACATCCTATCTGTAGTGAGTTATCCAGGGTTTCTGCATTTGTCATATTCTATCCATAAAAGCCCTCCCATGCAGTAAGGTGCCTGGACATGAGGTGAGATGGTCTCCTGTGTGAACACCTGCCCAGAGGCGTGCACTCAAAATAAAGCAGAGCAATAACATCCCTGCTCACGCAGATGTGCTGAAGGAAGGCAGCAATATGGGTAATGCACACGCTATTCTCATAAGGAAGGTAGAGGACTTGAAGTGGCCCTTCTTTAGCTCTCTTACCTTCACTTTCCAGTCCCATGAAACTCCATTCCTCATCTCTCCTGCACTTGCAGCCAATTTCAACAGGAGAGAGAGAGAGGCGTGACACGCAGTCAGAGCCTGGCACTCTTCTGGCCTGAAAATTGCCTCAACTGAAGCACAAAATCAGTATCCCTCTCTTAAACATGCTCCGAGCCCACTAGGGTGCAGCAGATGGGCAGTGTCATCTTTTCCCTTCTTTCTCAACAAAGAAGAGAGCAAGCTACTCCTCCCTTTCTGAAAAGCGCATGCTAAACTGACAGCTTTTCATGCATCCTCCCATTCTTTTCAGCTAACAGAAAGTGAACCCACTAGCCACAGTGCAGAAAACTGCTCGCATGCCCTATGCTGAATGATGCCTAAGCCACGGCTGTGGATCCCGCTCCTGGACCTACCTACCTAAAAGTCTAAATCCAGTTGGTAGGTCTGTTTGCCTGCAGTTCCTTGGGGATAAAGGAAAATCCAGCAAGATAATTCAAAGTGAAGCACCACTTTGTCAATACCAACAACTGTAGTCTCTAATTAGATGCATGTACTAAACAAAATTCACATGTATCAGGAAAAACAATGATCAAATACTTCTTTTCAAACAACAAAAAACCTCTGGGAAACATTCATTCATTCAAAAATCTTCTGCTCAAATAAGAGGCTTTTCTAAAAATAAAACAACATTAAAAAAAAGACAAAAAAGAGCAAGATCAGATCTCCCAAGACCTGATCTGCACGTATTCACTGGCAGGCCAAGCCTCTGCTCTGCATGACAAGAATTATTTTTAATAATGTGGAGAAGTGAAGGGGGAAGGTGCGGAGCAGCTACATCAATTACAAAAGAGAAAACACAGCCTTCCATAGGGAAATTGATGGATATTCTGTTTCCATAGGGTCATGATTACCTCTCAGTTGCTCATGCTGCACACAAGTCAAGTGGGTGATGGGAACATGCTTCACACCACACTCACACACAATCTGCCTCAGAAAACAGCTGCACATACGCTCTCGACAGTCACTACTGTGTTTTTTTATGAGCCACTCCAACACTAACGTGAACTACAGGTCACTGGATCAACGATGCCACCCCTCATCCATGTCCCTGATGTGACCTTTTATCATAGAATGGTTTAGGTTGGAAAGGATCTTGAAGATCATCGAGTTCCAACCCCTCTGCCATAGGCAGGGACACCTCCCACTAGACCAGGTTGCCCAGGGCCATGTCCAGCCTGGCCTTGAACACCTCCAGGGATGGGGCCTCAACAACCTCTCTGGGCAACCTGTTCCAGTGCCTTACCACCCTCAAAGAGAAAAACTTCTTCCTAATGTTTAATCTAAACCTGCCCTCTTCCAGTTTATAGCCATTCCCCCTCGTCTTGTCACTACCTGCCCTAGTAAAAAGTCCTTCCCCAGCTCTTTTGTAGGCAATGACCCGTTTATGTAACTGTGAGCAATATGAACAAGGGTGTGTGGTACAAGGAATGCCAAGAGCCTTTGGTGCTGCTCTGGTAGGGCAATGAGGCTTTGTGAAGTGCACACCCACATATACAGCCTTACGATAACAGCCAATGCTGAAATCTGCTACTGTGAGACAATACTAATTCTTATCTAAAAAAAGGGCTGGGGGTGGGGGTGGGTGGTAGGGGAAGAAAAAGAGCACCAAGCTTCTAAGGGTCAAATAATATGCAAACATGGCCATGGTGCTGCCTGGGAGTTAAGATGCAGTTCCTGAATCGTTGAGGCTCTTCAATAATTCTGTCCATGCTCAGATGGTGTTTAAGTAGGGGAAGGAAAAAAAAGTGAAAAAAAATCCCTAAATGTTCGTTCTCTCTAGGCCATGTGGCTCATTAATGTATGCAACAAGGATTTCAGAGCCCTGAGATATACGTACCATTTCCTTGAATGCACTTTCTATGGCCCCAATAACTAGGCACTCATGTGGGATCTTCTTCTCGGTGAAGAAGCGTGTTGGAGGGGTGCTGGGAGAGCCTGGGGCCCCCACACCACCACGCAGGGAGGCTGCCCGTGTCAGCGTCCTGCTGTTGGTGGCTGGGTTGTCAGGCTCCTCTCCCAGGCAGGTGGGTGGGAGGACGGCCGTGTTCCTCAGGATGTCCACGATCTCCTGCAGCTGCTCCAGGATATGATGCTGCAGCAGTTTGGAAGCGACCACAGCTGCCCCCGACCCAGCATGTCCATCAAACAGGGACCAGTAGTACAGGTTGATCCCATCTGTGTCCTGGAGAAGTAGGAGGGGAAGAAAGGGAAGGAAAAGAGATGGTCAGTGTTACAAAGCCACGAGTGAGGTGATGGAGCAGCTGGTGGCACAGGGCAACGGGTAAAACACAGCTACCTTTCCCAGAGGTAACCTTCTTTCCGAGATGGAGAAATACCCAGTGTTAGTACAGCTCTGGCAGGGAGGAGAGATGTTTATTTTTGCCACACACCCCAACCATTTTTTTTTCTTTTCCTTAACCCCCTCGAAAGAAAAAACAAACGAACAAAAAAGCTGAACTTGCAATCTTTCTTACTTTACAGCCATCATAGGATGCACTGACCACGCACGGCTACCACTATGGCACTAAGTTCATTACCTAATGACTATGCAGATCAGAAGAAAAGCATTCAAAAAAATCACATCATTGATAAATGATGGACCTGGCACCACAAAAATCAAAATTCTACAGAAGACAGTACCTGATACTTCTGCGACAGACCTTTTTTTTCCCACTAGACATGAGATGAAGGACCTCAGTTTGACATCTAGTAATAAGATGTGATCCCCACTTCCATGACTGATTGATAAGGTCCATCCATGCTGACAGATGGGACAACTCAGGCTTTCCCTGCCTATGCCAGCCCAGGAACCAGCACAGCACAGAGGTCCTTGAGGACGGCAGACACTAGTGGGATCAGCTGCACTCCACTCATGTTAGCCTACATATTCACTGCCTGGTTCTCCCCAGTCCTCTGAAAAGTTTCCTGTACAGTACTGGACTTACATACTCTCTGATCAGAAGAGCTATGCAAGTGTTTTAGTATAGCACTTGGCATAATAATATGCTTTTAGATCTTATATTTTAGATCAACTCCTAGCATGCTGGTCAGCACAACCGCTCTCATACAGGCAGAGTATCAGGAAAAAGTAAATTTTGTAGATCTCATTATAAAAAATTAAAGTATATGTGGAAATGTTACATATTTGTTCAGCAGTTATTGATCAATGATGTGATTTTCAATTATTTCTCCCCTCCTGCTCCACACAGTCTCCTCTCATTGGTGTAAGTCAGCTCTGCTATTGCTCCGATATGAGCAGAAACCATGTTTTTGTGGTGGGATGCCCTATCACTCAGATAGGGCCCATTAACCCAGGGCTGGAGGCAGACTTCATTCTTGGGAGCACAAGCTCCTATCTGCCTGAAAAATACCAAGAAGCCATACCCTAGATAACCTCAACTGTTTTTTTGGAGAAATTCACCTAGAAATCCTCAGAGAAGCAATTAAGGCATAACACCACCTGTCTTCGCATGACAGCGTATTTGGCAGCAGCATGTGGAAAGAGTCTTTCCAGTCTCTCCTTTCCCTTCCATTTCTTCTTAATCCTTCCCCTTCTCCCAGCTATGCTGAAACAACTGTTTGTGGGGCTGCCTTGCGAGTCAGATGTGGGTGGACTAATACAGACTTCAAAAGAAATAATTTTGCAAGGGACAGGGATCAGGCAGTACTGTTGCAAAACACCTCCTACTAAGAAAGCATAACCTAGATCTCACTGCAATGAAAGAACTTAAGAATTACATCTGCATGTCATGCTGACTGTGGTCTAATTTAGGATGACCGACACGATTTGTATCGTTCACCTGAACAATGCTCCTGTACTCAACAGATCAGCACATAGTCTAGGCACCACCTGCATCCCAGCACCTCATGCTGCTTATTTCAAATTTATGGACAGGGCTATGAACTGCAGCTCCTTTTACTTTCTGCTGTTCCAGCTGCTCCACAAAGGTGCCAACCACTGGCTGTAGGACATGGGAGACAAGCTGGAGTAAGAACACCATTAATTGTCATTTGCAGGTCCAAAAGACATCAGTCATTGTTGCCCCGAGTTACAAAATCCAAAACCTAATGCAAAATATCTCTTTTAGCAACATGTATATAGACCATCACTACAAGTTCATGCTGTTCAAAGGGCAGAATTCATTGCTGAATAAGCATTATTACATATAACTTACTTTGTTGAAATGCACATTTAAAAGCCTTGATTATAAAAATTACATAAGTCTATTTTTTTTAGCTTATAGCATTGCTGCTGTAGTAAAGATCAAACATATTCTTAACCAGTGCATTAACAATGTAGTCTTCTACACAGTGGAGAGTTCCTCCAAGAGAAGGAATTTAGCAGTCTATTGTGTCCTGTTGACACAAAACTGGGAGGAGTGGCTGACACACCAGAAGGCTGTGCCGCCTCACAGCGCGACCTGGACAGGCTGGGGAGTTGGGCAGAGAGAAACCTTATGAAGTTCAACAAGGTCAAGCATAGGGTACTGCATCTGGGGAGGAATAACCCCATGCATCAGTACAGGTTGGGGGCTGACCTCCTGGAGAGCAGCTCTGTGGAAAGGGACCTGGGAGTCCTGGTGGACAACAGGATGACCATGAGCCAGCAATGTGCCCTGGTGGCCAAGAAGGCAAATGGCATCCTGGGGTGCATCAAAAGAGTGTGGCCAGCAGGTCGAGGGAGGTCATCCTCCCCCTCTACTCTGGCTTGGTGAGGCCACATCTGGAGTACTGTGTCCAGTTCTGGGCTCCCCAGTTCAAGAAAGACAGGGATCTGCTGGAGAGGGTCCAGCAAAGGGCTACAAAGATGATTAGGGGATTAGAACATCTCTCATATGAGGAGAGGCTGAGGGACTTGGGTCTCTTTAGTCTAGAGAAAAGAAGATTGAGGGAGGATCTTATTAATGCTTACAAATACTTAAAGGGAGGGTGTGAGGTGGACGGGAACAGTCTTTTTTCAGTGGTGCCCAGTGATAGGACGAGGGGTAATGGGCATAAACTTGAACATAGGAAGTTCCATCTAAACATGAGAAGGAACTTCTTCACTTTGAGGGTAGTGGAGCACTGGAACAGGCTGCCCAGAGAGGTTGTGGAGTCTCCCACTCTGGAGACATTCAAAACCCACCTGGACGCCGTCCTGTGCAACCTGTTGTAGGTGACCCTGCTCTGGCAGGGGGGTTGGACTAGATGATCTCCAGAAGTCCCTTCCAACCCTGACCATTCTGTGATTCTGTTCATTTCATTACTGAAATGCTCAGAAAAGGGAGCATTGTCCTACAGTACTGGATTACTTACCACAGTAAGGATCACACAGGATACATCCTATAATGGTGGAAAAAACAACAAATGTACACATTTCTGGATGTGGCTCCTTCGCCAGACCCACCCACTTACTGAGTCTGGTACATTCACCAAAAAACCTTGTGAAACTTCCCCCCTGAAGGCATGCCTGGCAGTTGTGCTAGCTCGCTCTGGGGTCAGAATCCCTCCAAGTTCACACAACAGCTCGCTGTAAAATTCTGCTTAAGCTATTTTTAACAGATAACAGGATTACTGACTCAGAAACCTGTGTGTAAAAATAGATTGCTATTCATGGAAAAGGTAAAGTATTTTGCCGACAGAAACAAGTATCACAAAGTGAAAGTATTTCAGGTGAAAACTGAAACCATTTATACAAATCGGCAACGCTGTGCCTTCTGGGAGTTGTAGATCAAACTACTTCTGCTCCCATTCTTCTCCTAGGGTTTGTCTCCCTGGCCAAAATCTACCCCATGATGCACCATCGATAATGCCTCCTGTCATTTGAAAGGTGCTACTCCTTCGGAGACGTGCTGCTTTTGACAGAAAAAGCATAAACGCATTACGCCTCTGATCGAAATGGAAATATTTTACTTTCCACCTAGAGGAAGAAGGTGGTTTTGGGTCACCCTCTCCCTGCCCCCAAACTATAACAGAAACTTACAATCAAGAACAAGTTTAACACCCCCCTCACCTTCTTATGTGTTACAAAACAAGTGCCCACCAAAGTCTGTATTACAGGTTTTCAGAAGATAAAAGGAGAACAGTTATTAACAGAATTCACTCTCATTATTATGAGCACAACACTGGGTATGTCTTACACTGAACAAGCCTCATGTGAACTTGGTAGTCAAACAAGGTGCTATCAGAGACCGGGAACCTTTAAAACAGACCAGGACAATGGCCCATGACAAAAAGTGAAATTGAAATGTTACTACTCATTTCATCTAAGCCAATGGGCAGCACAAATTAGGACAGAGAAGGTCACATGAGCCTGAGCTGCATTCTCGGGCTGTCACTGACACGAACACAGTATGGCCATGTCAACTATGGTGGTTCTTCTGGAGTTAACTGATCTTGTCCTTTTTGGACTGGTAATTGTTAAACAAGAGGGTGTTGTTATCAGTTCAGCTAAGTTCAGACATCTACATTGCACACCTCCAAGATAGTTCTCTAAATTGCCCTTATACTCAGCAGAGAGGAAAAAACCCTGCACTTTCGGACTACGCTCATCTCATTCCAAAGTAGATTTTTTCTCCCTATCAACTGCAGAAATACCCTAGATAACTGAGAGGTCTGTATTATAAGCATAGACAGTCTGGGGAGATGACTACCACAATGCTGCTCTTACACTCACATTCTGTGTGAGATGCTCCAGGGTCTTAAGTTCATTTAGGATCTGCAGGCATTACTGTAACCTAAGTATTAGTCTCCAAAAACTTCTATGTATTCCTATGAAGCTTCATTTAGTTTTGAACTAGCAAAGAGAGCATAACCACAGATAACCTATTAGCTGTCTAAAAAAGGAAGAAGAAAAATTCTTTTCCTCCACCCTGAGAATAAAAATGGCTCCTCTATTTGAAAGAAATGAATTCTCCAAACCAAAGAATTCCAAAAGAATTAAATATACAGTGCAAATAAAGCAGTGACTCAAAGAACAAACAAGGGCTGTCAGCCAGGGCACACAGATAAGACAAAAAGCACAAAAAGGTCCTTGCTTTTCCTCGCACAGCTGAGATGACCTCCATAGCCACCAAGCAACTACCCATTTTGGTGTACACTATGCACGGCCATTCTCTCACTTTTATATTTGGGAGCTTGAACTTCTTCCCTAAAGTACTTACTCTCTACAAACTCTCAGAGAACAAGACAGCTATTTCTACTAGCTCTGGTGGTATTCTGTCGAAAGTAGTCTTTCAAATATCAATCTCCATTTGTTCTTTTAACTGGACAGAGCCTTCAAGTGGGAGTATGATCAGTCAACAAAGTGATTTATTTTAGATTTGCTTTCAAAAGATTCAGATTTAACAACATTATGAATAGCTACCAGATACATGAAGAACAAACAAATCCTTCACTGCACTGACCTTACAGTTAATTTCCAGAATGTATTAGGAAATTTAATAAGCTTCAGGCTCCTCAACTGCTGACCTTGGGTTTTCTAATTGTAAAATATAATTAAGACATGCAAAGTTTTGGGTCAAGCAATGGATGACAAATCGTGAAAGAAAATGCATATATATACATATAATTGGAGCTCAGTTACAGGAAAAAAAGATGGCAGCCTTAGCAATATATAGTGATCAATTTGGGACAAATTTTTCAGGTAAGTTGGACAGAGGTCCTACATTGCAAACCCTCAGAATTTTTTTTATGAAGCCAGTTCCAAACAATCATGTTGACACTAACGATTTATTCTGAAAACCACAACCCACCCTGACTATTATTATTCCAAATATGAACTACACTCACAAAATGCACCAGAGTGTATCTTTAGTTCTCATAAAACCTGAACTGGGTGGGCAATCGCCACCCCATCCTCAGAGAAAAGCCTCGTGTTACCAATGATATGTTCGGCTACCTGTGGTAGGCAACCAGCTTTGTGTCACACAAAACAAATACTCTGTTCCATCTTTGTGGCAAAGAAAACTGCAGAACTAATAATTATGTATCCTCAAATTACAATGACAATTAATAATGCATCACATTAAGTCCTGCAACCTAACTGTCACTATGACAATATCCTGGCATAGGAAACCTCATAGGTTTCACTCACTGATGGTCTTCAGTATTCATCATCAGGGCACCCCATAGTAAAAGGCATTTAAAAATAGTACTGGTGAAAAAGCTGCGCAACTTAAAGTGAATGCTCTTGAATAGGGACAGAGGGAAAATATGATTAATCAAGCAGCAGTGCAGTGGGTGGGGGGAAGGGGAGAGAATTAATTTAGGGTTGAATTTTCAGCCTTTCCTTTCACTGCTCTGCTCAGTTTATCATCCCCTCTTTCAAGAAGAAAACCGTATTTATGCTATTTAAGAGTTTTCCTTGGATTTTTGTGTGTATTGGGGTGAAACAATTGTACACTTGTCCGTCTCCTCATTTCTGGCCCACCACCTCCTTCTTACCATCCCTGGAAGCTCTGCAGAGTCCACCTGCTGAGTCAAGGCCACGACAGTGGCACCCAACCCATGTGGACAACCCATGGATCCCCGACTCCCTTATGCTGCCTTGCTGAAGTGCGGGGCTGCATTGATGAGCTTCGCATTAAACAACAATAATCAGACATCCTTAGGTGCACCTGCCATTTCCCAGAAAGCAGGGTAAAACGAAGACAGCATGCAGCCTTCTCAAAGATTCTGTGTAAAACAGAAAAATCTGAGGATGATGAAACGGACTCTGTTAAAGTTGAAGTTCCCTTATGCTCCACATTTTGAAAAACTAAACTAAAATCAGAAGAAATCTTTCTTTTCATCAGACAAATACTCAATAAACTGGTTCCGTCATTCCTTCTTCCTTCTACAAGGTGCTTCACCACTCGGAGGAACTGGTTCCGTCATTCCTTCTTCCTTCAATGTTTCTACAAGGTGCTTCACCACTCGGAGACAATTTCAGATCGTGTGCTACAGTGGGATTTCCCTATGAGGCATTTACAGTATTCAGCCTCTGGCTTTCTTACTAAATACTTGCCAGGATGATATCATACCATTCACTGGAGTGTCTCAAGCCGGCGTTTCTACATTCTATTGATACAGAGCAAGTTGTGCCCTCATTACATTAAACACCAATCTCATACACCCCTTAAAAAATATTTGCTAACAATGCTATGTGAGGGCAAACCACAATATTATACTTCACCGTATAAAAATATGAAAGCATAAAAATACAATAGAAATGTGTACATCTTTTTTTTTTTTTTTCCTCAATTTAGATATACTCAACCAGCAAAAAAATCTACCAAGGAAAAAAATCCTATTAATTGCTAGTGTAAGACTGCCCTCTAGTAGAAAACTTTCTCCAGAAATATGCTGACCGTTTTTGGAAAATATATTATAAATTTAAATTCACAAGCTGTGGTCTAATAACATGGTAGAATAGGTTTTACACAGCTAAATAATGAGTGCTATAGCACTCATTCAAGTGTCATGTAGAAAACAGAAATAAATTTGTAGATAAGAAGAGAACATATAAAGAACATGATAACAAGTAGCATGAAAATAGTATACTATATTACACAGATCAGCTGGCTCCTCACTTCAGACATTATGCTCATTTCTGGTCAAAATATGCCAGAAACAGAAGAATGAACAGAAGATTTTAAATAAAAATATTTCTCTCAAGAAGCTTGAAAGGGAGTGGTTGTTTTTTCCAAAATCAAGATCAAAAACACAGAATCAAAGTAAGAAATACACCAGTGAAGAGAGGAAGAGAAATCAGAAAATTCCATGAGATATTTTGCATAACACAGGGTAACTGGATATTTAACAAGGCCGACAATCATTAAGTTTAAAATGGATAAAAAGAACAGCTTTCAAAAATATGCAGTCAGTTTATAGACCCTATCATTACAATACCATAATAGCATGATGACCATAACGATGGATACTATCACAGCTAGTGAAGCTAGTCCAATAATTAAATAGCTTTATATCCCTGTATTTTTAATGCAATCTAAACATATTAACTATGTAATGTTTGGAGAACAGTTCCTTCTGAGGAAGATGATTAATCATGCAGTATAGTATGTACAACATAGCATGCCTTTTGCTGTTGATACTGCTCAAAGCTGGAAGTTAACTGGACTTTGTGAAACAATCCTACAAAGTTTTTCATGGCCCATGCATGCCCCCAAAATACGAAAACACAGGCAAATTCACCACAGCTCCATTCACCCACATCCCAGATGCAGGGGCCCTTGACCAGGTATCTTACGTGGCAGGCCTGGAATTAATTTAAATGTGGTGTTAGACCAAAGCTAGTACCTCTGCCCAGCACCAAGATGTGTCTACCCAGGCTGGTGCGTGCAGAGGCACCTTTGCAGTGTGCACGACACAGCAGTGCCCTTTGCGTCAAACAAACCCATCATCTGGACCAAGCACATTGTTGCTTATCTTGATGTGTTTTATATACACGAACAAGTAGTGTGGCCAAACGCTTGCTTCATTAAACATAGTTACTGCATAGAAAAATTAAATACACTCATGGAACCAAGCGTCTGCATGAGCCAATAGCAGACAGTTGCATGAACTTTCTAGGGAAGACTTTTAAAAACATAGACTATGAAAACAAATTCTGTTTTGCCTTGCATGACTGTACACAGAATTCATAGTCCCAACAAGTCCAGGAGTGTGCAAATATGTACTTAAAAAAATCATGACTGTCTGAATACAATGAAGAATGTCAACACATAGGAACTGCGACAAGTGATTTAAGGAAAGAATTGAAAGAGGAAAGAACAGGGCTATTTGCAAACCTGGAAAATCTGTCCAAAACTGAAAATGTTGCAATAATGAAACGTGAAACAGAGCAGGAGGAGCAAGAAATCAAAAATCAAATAGTAGAGCTACAAAAAACATAGTTAAATGTTCTGCATTTAAGCAAAGATAATTAATGAGGTAACTGAAAATACATGAAACATTCAGTAAACATCTTTTAGTGTCATATTGCCACATCCTTTTATATTTATTTTGTACTTCTCCACTGACAAGATATAGAAGTCTGCTTACCGAATTGTCTTTCAGCTGGAGACCTTCTCCATTAGGCAACGATGATCTCCGTTTTGTTGAAGAGTTCTTGTTTGGTGTAGAATTAGCGCCTCCAGCTTTCTTCTTGACAAAGAGGACTTCACAGCTGGCTTGATCTTCATTGTGCGTGCTCTTCCCTGCATTTATTACCCTAAGAAAAAACAAAACAAAGAGAGAAAACAAGGGACATGTCCAAGTTAGCAAAGCACAGAACTCTCCATCTGTATCTCGTCTGTGACTCAAGATGCATGGAACCAAAGCCCAGAAATATCACAAATACCAACTGAATTAAAATACCTGACTCTTACACACATACATATGGATACATACAGACATGCACACTTATTTGTTTCCATACACCTACCCAAGGCAGAAGAAGCATTTTTCACAGAACTATGTGAGTAAAAACGAATGGTACCATGAACATATTTTACCCTCAGCCATTACCATATTTTTCTTTAAAGGGACTACTTGATGGTCAAGGCTGGTAACACTTAGGCCTCCTAGTTGAAACATGAGATCCCCAGTTGCTTTTCTACCTGCCAGCCTATCTCCTACAGTGAATAATGAATCTGTTGGTAAAGGGTGTGCGTTCTGTCAAGTTCCAAGTCTTGCACAAACAAAATACCTGCTATAAATCTAAAAAGCTTTTACTGCTAAAGGCACAGAAAAATATGCAACTGCTATTAGTCTGTTTAAAGGGCACGTATTAGAAATGCTGCTACAGAAATACAAAGGAAAGGCTTTTCCTTATATTCCAACATGCACATCAAGTTTGCTTGTACCACAGCAACACAGAATGCACACTAAATACACCCTTCTAGCACTGCAGAACAAGGTAATCATTCTCCCCAGCCCCTCAAACCTCTCTCTCCCCCACCTGCAACATAGAGAGCAGAAGATCCGCACCAATAGCTGCAGAAACCAGCACTAAGAGCTCAGGACAAGCTTTGGACAGCCAAGGGTATTCTGAGACTTGCACCACAACTGCTCATCTTCCTTCCGTCAGTGATGAAGCTGAAACAACAGCTATTCCATCACCAACATTTTAAACCCTAGCCAGAAGTTTGCATCATCCAAGATACTGTGGTTCGTATCATTTGTCTTGGAACAACCAAGTTCAAACACATTTTCCACTTTCTACGTGAGAACATCATCACAAGCTGACTAATTTTGCACCAGCTGACACCATGTTCAGTAAGGCACATGCTTTGACAGTCCTGGGCTCAAACAGGAAAAACCTGTGCAAGCTGGGACTGTGTCTTGTTCCAACCAAGCAAAGACGTTGCCACTTTGATGCGAGTATGTCTTCTTCCGCAAACAGTATCTAACCACTCCTCTTCACTATGAGGTGTAAGTAACCCAACATGTTGGCCGCTGGTCAGAGACAGCCTCTCCACTACTGGACCAAGTTTCGCATCAGGCATATGATGTCTTTAAAAACTGCTGCCTCCCCAGAAAATAAACCAGCTAGAAGGCATATATAATCCTGATGGCAAGTTCAAGACATACCTGACTTCTTGATCTCTAATGTCTTCATTGCAGTAAAATTTTACGTAACAGGAAAACACTTGCTAAAGGTTGTTGAAAGGAAAACAAAAACTGAACGAAGGTCTGCAGGGGACTCTATGCCAGCTTGCCTGCTCTTGCTGAAATGTCAATTCTATGTCAACCTTGCTTAAAGGTAATATATTCTTTGGATTTTCTAAGAGCAACATGATACTGTGACATGCAGATGACTATTCCTGCCTCTGATTAAAAAAAAAGAGACAGTCATACTCTTAAGAAAATGTGCATTCACTACAATTAACTGCTTCCAGAAACTAAAAGTTTCCTTACAGTGCCAAATGTCACATACTGCAGTCTGACATCTGTATGCACAGTACCACCGGTTGTTTACAAGCATTTCTTGTAAATAAACACCAACTGTGGATAAAATTATTTTGTGAAACACAGAGACAGCAGAGATGAAGGAGCATCGAGCTGCAAGCCACCTGCGAGCAGTTTAACCACTCACCCCCTGTAGTGCCTAACCTTTGAGCAACCGGATATCAATCACTGGGACGCAATAAGCTTCTAGGCTGAAAACTCCACATTTTGTTGACATATTGGGAAACAGGGAAGCATATATTCAGAAACTGGGAAGGGGAGGGGGGAGAAGCACAAATAGCAAAGAATTTAAATCAGCTGACCAACTCCTCTTTAGTTTGAAATGCTACAAGTATGATTAAAATATTGCAGCAGTACAGAAAGTGTAGTTTTATCATATGAAGAGCTAATTAATACTGAGTTTAGCTGATCAGTCTCCTCATTGATGTTGCTAGCTGTTTGCAACCCCATTTAAAAAAAAAAGCAGAAGACAAATGGTGACAAATTGACTCCTTACAAAAATCACTACGTCCCTTACCATGTATTGTTCCTTAGGAAAAAAATCACCCAAGTATTGGAGCTGCTCTGGTTTCTAAGCTTAGTGATGGACTTCAGGACTTGTATGATAGGAGATGTTCTGATGTTTAACAGCGTGTTACGTTACGCACAGTATGGTATCATTTTATAAAGCTCTTGCCAAGAAAATTTGTCAAGACACTGAATACATTAGAAAGGTTACAAGAACAAAGTGACCTAACAGACTAGCTTGGCAGTCAGCTACCGTGAAAGTCCTGGAGTGGAACCCGCGTACCAAACACCTTGCTAGAAGAGGATATGGTCAAAAGGAACCTGGCAAGACTGAATACTGATGTGACGTGGGGGTTGGGGTGCAGTATATGTTCTCTCTCAGAATTTCACTTTGTCTCCCAGTTTTCTTCTCACCAGCAGAGGATTAAGTTTATTTTGGAAATCTTTGTGAAGACTTGAACTAATCATAACATCAAAACAGGGCTTATGGGTACTACCAGATAACACAGGGTCTAGATGCCAAAAGGTACCCCTCTCCTGTCATGGGCCCTTCCATCCCATCTCATAGGCAAACTTTGGGAGAGGGTTGCAGCAAAACTCTGTGCTTTTTAATGTCAAAGCCTGAGCTATGTATTGGTGCCTGATGACCAGTACAAGGTCTGGTAACACCTTCTACTCAGCTTCTCTCTGTCTTTGCTGTCTTTTGAAATCCTTTTACCTCTGCAGCTTCTTAAATCCCTCCTTGAGGCAATTCTTTCAACCAGCTTTCCAATGCTGATTTTACTGTTGTCTTTCCTCCTTGCTCTCACAGACTGTAACTATTATCAGGACAAAACCCACATCTAAACTGTTTATACAAATAACAAAGCAGAACTAACAAGATGTTCATATCTCCAAAAGGTAACCCTTAATGAGATCTCTGAAAATTTTTACGGAAAACCTACCATCCCCCTCCTTCCATAGAGGAAGTGCCTCAGTTTCCTAAGCTTTTCAGTTCCCCTTCATATCTCTTTTTCTGCCTCAAAAATAAGTTATCCTCCAGTAAAGTGAACAAAATGAGATAAATCACTACCTTCTCATGCTTAATAGAAAAGAAATCCTACAATCATACAGTTGTCCTCACTTTCATTTTATCATGGATGTAAACAATAACAATAAAATTTGGAGAGAAAGGAATACAAAAAGATGGAGGTCGACATAATTCTCTAGCTTTTACTCAGAAACATGTTTTCAAGGGAATTCTTGCTTTTGTTTTCTCTCCCTGTAACAATTCCTCAACGAACTGTTTGATTAGACCTATTCACGATCAACTCCTCCCCATCCCTTCCCTCCTCTCCCACATTACCCGTTTACCTCCTATCCTATCTTTTATGAAGTTCAATCCAAATAACGTATCTAATTTGGATCAGAACCTCCTCTTTTTACAATATTAGCTGTCTCTATTATGTCAAACGCAATGCTCAGCAATAAATAATGCTAAGGTTTAGTTCACGGTACAGTGGTGCTAGTAAAAATACATCCTACTTCGCAAACAGGAGCTTCCTGAAGTCTGCACAGTGAGGTGGTTGGGTTTGGTCACATTTGAAGAGGTACTTGCATCAAACTTGATGGACACTTCAATACTTTACGAGACTAATCTCTGACATGTCCTCAGCTAAAAGCAAATCCTCCAGACAGGAGCCAGCTAGCTTGTTTGGCTCACAATTAGCATTCTGCTGGTATCTCGCGAGACCCCAAATCCCATCCGAATGAATGGAAAAGTAGGTCACACTGTGCTTCTATTCTTCATTCAACAAGCAGAGCTCTGAAACTCTTGTGTCAAGGTCACTGATTACAAAATCCCAAGTTTATCTTAAAAGAACAAAACCAGGCCAGTTGAACAAATCCAAAACAGGTTTTGATAATAGCTTTCCCCCCAAAAAACACACAACCCTCCCCAAAAATAAATCCAAAAACCAGCTCAAGTTTTTTGAAGCATTTCTTTCAGCCATCTATTTTTCACATCAGTATCAGTATGCATACTCTTTGGTTGTTTTACTACTTCCTATACTGTGCTCATTGAGATTATATTAAGTTGTATTTGCTTCAGCAAAAATTCCAACCTGTGCTGTAAGAGGAGAGCTTTACCCAGGTCTAGATCTCAAATTCTGAAAAAAATTAAAGTAGTGGTACAAGTACTTGTATTTTTTAAACTCACAGGTCTAGCAAAATTTTATATGTAACATACCTAGATAACAATAACAGGTAAAGGCAAAGAGCTCAGCAGAAATTCTGAATGATGCACGACAACAGCAGTGAACACAAAAAGTGCTTCCTGAAATTCAAGGAGAGCTAGAAGAGCTTGGGAAGTTACGTTGCACCAGGAGAAGCGTGGAAACTGGCCGCACATATACTCTAGATCTGCATGAGCTAAGAAATAAAACCTGTAAGTAGGGAGCCTGACCCACCCCTGCGGTTTAGTTGAGCTGTGGGGTAACTGACAACCACCTGCGACCACAGGAGGACACCTCAAATCCTATCATCTGCTTCTCCCCCACCAAGGGCCAGTTCCTCTCTGCAGCAGTGGAGAGCATTCCCAGTTCCACCTCCTCTGCAAGATGTGTTCCGAGGGTCAAGGAAGGCATCCTACGCCAGCACTTCCAGAGCAAAGGTCTGGGCACCCTGTGCTTGTACCATGTAGGTTAAGGCTGAGGCTGTGTGTATTACCTGTGTAGGCCACAGGGTCTGACATTGGAGCATCAAAATACCTACAGA